ATATTGGAAAACAGTTACTTCTTTTCTAGACTAAATTCAAATATCTTATGATAATTTTTCTTGTTTTTTTATCCTACTTTTTGCTGCTGGCCTGAGCTGTTGTGCTCAGAAGCAGATGCACTCTGTCCCTCCAGTTAGAGTCTGAGCTATGGATAACTGCTCTGTCTATTTTTCTGAGTAGTACATCCAGCTAGGAATAGTTTTGCTTATTCCATGTATGTGTCACAGGGAGAAACTTAGTCTACAGAATCCTATTCAGGGTTTCTTCCAGAAAGCTATTTGGTTTCACATGTTTCCTTTATATTATCTTTTAATTACTACTCACATGGAGAATAGGATTTATCTGTGTAGAGCTAACACCTTCCTGTGAAGTAATCAACTCAGAGGAATTGATAAATGAGTTTATAGTCTCATCCAAGAGGTAACTTCCCCCTTTCTAAGGCCCTGCAAAAACTTACAACTTGTTTCCTTAGCACCGCAAGACCAAAAATTTTTGGAATGAAGAGTGTTCCCATGAAAAATTTATGAGGAAAAATAGTATTCCAGTGAAAACTGTCTGTGATGTAACCACATCATGAGACTGAAAACGCTTTGAGTTCTGTGCATCGGCATAAAATGGGAAGAGCAGCAATGTTTTATTTGCTAAATGGCAGCAGCCAAAAGCAGACCACATAGCAGTGCCTCCCTCTCTACCTTGGCTATGCTGCCTCCTTCACCCTGTCCTGGCCAACTCATTCTCTTTCCCCATTGTCTCCCAGCCTGAGCAAACTGTGAAGTAAGTCTCAGTGAGCTCATTTAAAAATTAAAATAAAAATTCCCTTTTTGAAATGTATTTATGTTTTTAGACCAAGACCTCCTTCATTGACCCTTCTCCCTCAGCTGTATTTTACAGCTGCTGCTCCCTGTTTTAGATGAACTGCAGACAGCCATGGACAGCTACAGGACCAGATGGGAGGGTCATCTTGTTCCTGTCATTAATTTTTAGCTCTCCTGAAAAAAGGAGCCATTTTCAGACTTGGAGCATGGCTTGTAGTGAAAGTTCAGGGTATGCAGAGGTCCTTTTTATTCTGCTGGTTGTTGTGTGCCTGTTGGTTATTATATGATCGACCAGAGTCATACAGGGACAGGAGTTCTGCTGTATTTTGTACCACATCTGGAATAGGTGTTCTTGGGAATCAATTTACCTAACTCTCTGAACAGTGGGAAGAATTACATGTCTCCTTCATTTATGGGATTTCTTCTGTAGGTGGGACACAAGGAATTGCCCGCAGATAATGTCTGGTATCTCCAACGAATCTTACAGCTTCAGTGAGTGTGCCAAGAATTCAAGTATGAGTGAACTGGAATATTTCTGAGGCTAGCATAGCCATTTCAGTCTTGGCTTTATCAAAAGCTGATTTGTGGATCAAACAAGAGCAGCTGCTGCGTTTGCTTCAAAATCTATCTAAAACATTTTCTACTTTTCTTTTTTTGGGGATTTCTCTGTTCAGCTTCAGCTGCTCACTTTACAGAATGTTTTGTGCAGATTCTGCTAGGTGCTGTTCTGCTTATCACTTATTACGAATCAATATAATGCAATTTCTTTTGCTGTCTGTCCTTGGTACACAGAAATAGCAAAGTGTAGCACCAGCTACTCTCCTGCATGTGCCAGATGGTGTCTTAGAGAACACGTTGCAGAGGCTTGCTATGCACCATCCTGCAGATTAAGAATATAGGGTCTACTATTTAACTGCTGCAAATCAGTAGAGTGCCACTAAATAGATTGTGCAATCCCCATTTGCATTAGATGCTATCTGACTCATTAGGTAATTAATAGAAATTGTTGTAATATACTTGCTGATGCTTTCCTCAGTGAATTTGCCCTGTTTTCTAAAGATGTCTTAGAAAATTATTATATGGTACTTGTGGTAAAGTTGATATACAGCTCTTGAATAGAGAGGATTTTTTTTCAAGTAATATTAGAGAAAATCTAAAAGCCTTGCGATGTAGAGAGCACAGAATAAATAGTCCAAAATTATATAAATTATATACAAGATATTGTGTATGTGCATCTGAGGTTGCTTTTGGAAAGCAAACTGTGCTTTGGAAACTGCAGCACAGACTGCACGTACAAGAAAATGTTACATTCTTCTAATTTTAAAAAGACAACTGAGAAAGTGAAGTAGGTTTAGTATCTGAACAATGTACAGATATTACATGTTAGAACTGAAGGAACTGACAAGTGGAAGCTGCTCTCTTGACAGTTCACTGTAGGGAATGCTGGCTTGGAATTGTTGGCATCATTTGTAACAAGCTTTCTTTGAGTGAGTTTGCAGATGTCAATGTGCTGCTTTGTGATTGAAAACATGTATTGTAATTGATCTAGCTGTAATGTGTTTGTGAGGAGAATTATGTGAATGGGGAAGCAAGGAAGCCTTTTTCTACGAAGCGCACCAATAAGGAATTGTCTTTTGTGACCTTTTCTCAAAAAAAGCAGGATATTCTCAGACAGTAAGTTGTATTTTGTTATTGCTATTGCAGAGTACATTTGGACTGTTTAAACACCATGATGATAATACAAGTGCCCTTAAATTTCTTAAGGTTTTTTATGGGGATCACATTCTAAGATTTTACATTTTTTTTAATGCTGTACACTCGTATTCTTTTACATGATAGCTTTTCTTGCAGATGCTGCTGAGCAATCTAAAGTCCTGTTACTATTTATGGTACTGTTTTGAAGTGTAAGCACAGTTTTTCTTGAGACCATCCTAAAAATGAAAAAGATAGCTACACATATTAATGAGAATTATGCCAGAGGCATTTGCAGTCAGGCTGTGTCAAAGCTGGTTTTGCTGTGCTTCTAATGCATAAATTTCGACACGAAAGAGTTCCAAGCTTATTTTCCACTGCAAGCAAAGTATTTTTCTTCTTTTAAGAACAGCTATTATAGAAATACACTCGAGGCACATTGCCTTCATCCAGGTAGAAGTAATAATGAATGTGAGATCTGTCCTAAAATTTTAGTCATACCTTTAAGATAATACCTTTTCTTTGTATGTTGCTTTTCAAATTTCCATACATGTCCAGTAGCAAAGTTTGGACACAGCAGTTACTCTGGTGTGATGTATTACCCTTTATTTCCCAAAGAATATATCTAGTAGAAACTTCCCTAATTTCCTTGAAAATCTTGTAGAAGGGAAGATGTTATTCCCTGTGAGGAACTGATTTGCACTTGCCCAGCTGTGTGTGGTACAATGTGCATTGCTTTTGGAATACAGTACTTCTTCAAGGAAGAAGAAAATATTTTACATTCATATGATCTCACCACACCATATATGAAAGCTAATTCTGGACACACTAATGACAGTTGTTCAGAAAACAAAACTAGAAAATAAGGCGCACCTGAAAGGTTTATTTACAATTAATCTGGTAATCCTAATGCATAGATTGCTCATCTGTATGTGTATGCTATTTCTGTTCACACTGCTAGTAAGGATATTGTAAATTTCTCTGGAAGCAGATGATTTCAAACAGATTCCCTGAGTGCCAGACCAAACACCAAAATCTTCAGTTAGTTTTTGTTAAAATTTTCCTTAATCTCCCTTATGCTTAAAAAAAAAAAAATCTTCCTTGATTCTTACACAGTCATTTAATGCTGTTTCTATGGTCTTACAAAAATAGATTTTAATTGCAGTTTGCGAAGATTCAGCAGTGAACTGAACTCCTTCAGAACTGAGTGGCACTATTGCCTCCCATCCTTAACTCTGCCCTGCACATACTGGTTTCCCTGTATCAGATATAACACAGGGCTTGCTTTTTTTAAATGTTGGCTTCTAATTGCACCCAGTAATGGCACTGAAAAAAGGTGAATAACCAAGTATTAGTTTGGAGATTTCATGGCCTCTTGCTCGTTTCTTACTGCACTTCAGCATCCCAGTCACTGCCCTTGAGCCTCCGGCTTCAAACCTCATCACTGGTCTTGTCAGACTGGTCTGAAAGCAGCCATACACACCCATGCACACATAAATCCCCCTCCTGACTTGCTTACGTTCCCCTTCTCCTCCTGCACTAGTGCTTTTTGCTTGTGGCTGAGAAAGAGCCAGGCTTTGCTGGGGGACTATGTGAAGGACTTTTCTGAGGATAAGATGATATATGGCATTGAGTGTGATGTATGGCTCCTTCAGTGTGCTGTTTCTGCATGATGCTTTCCAGTGTTGCCAACATTTGTATACATGTGGTAAAAGTTTTAGTTTAATTATCATCAGGTTATTGCTTTTTAAATTAATGAATATGATATTTTTAATAGAAGTAAATAGATCTGCTTTGAATTGTTTGTTGGTTTTTTTTTTAATTGTGATTTTTGAGGCTGTATAATATAAATGTAGTGATGGGGCAAAGTTTGGGTTTCCTTGATAATTTAATTCTGTGGTTTATTGTGTCAAAATATAAACAGGAATGCAGTTGTCTTTAAAACAAGTAGCAAATTGAGTTTGTCCCTGAACACTAATCTTAGTCTGGTGTAATCAGTGTTTTTTGGGGTTTATTTGAGCTTCACAATTCACAGAAGCATTGGTATATATGCTGGATAAATATTTTACAAATTATATTTTGTAAATATATTATGGTATTGTGTAATGTATTTATATTATATTAGCTGATGCTGGGGAGTCCACTGAACATTGAGTAATAAAAACCAGTGATCAGTTTTTTATGTGATCAGTTTAATGTGAAATACAAATCCACAACCTGTTTTTCTGGTTTATGTTGGTTGTTGTTTTTTTGAAGGCTGAAGTTGTGCAGAGAAAAAAGAAATGGGTAAGATAGATGTATAAACTTTTATATGTAAGTTAAGTGGTCTAATATAAACTCTGTGTGGAATTCTCTGCTTTTCAGCTGTCCAGATTAGGGCAGTACAGTTTTCTGTATTTTAATTTTGGAGAGAAGCTCAAAGAAAGTGTTGAATGGCCGGGTATCTAACACTTCAAAATTTAATAACGTGTTCTTATCTTTGTGTTTCAAAGTGACAGAGTCTCTGGCCCAGTCTGTAGTCCACCATTTAAGATGGATAATGCAGAAAGATCTTCTTGGCCAAGATGTCTTTCTTATTGGGCCTCCTGGGCCTCTCCGGAGATCTATTGCCATGCAGTACCTGGTGAGTATGTTGGTTTACATGTGTTGGAGACATTGTTATTAATGTCAGCCATTCTTATACTAGACAAGTGGTAAAGGTAATCCTAGAACATCTTACAGCAAGCTACTTAAGAAGTAAATAAGTTTTTTCATAAACGTGCTTTCCAAAGCTCAGTTTTTGTTATAGACAAATAGAAAGTACAGACATTTTAATACGTGTTTTTCTGCTTAAACTCCAGGGGAAAAAAAAGAGTTGGAAAACTGTGTTACCATATGCTATCACAAATGGAGAAACAGTTTGTTCTCGGCATTATGTATGTTAGAAGATTAAGATATCTGCCTTGTGCTACAGACAACAAATCGTTTTCTCTTCATTACATAAAAAAAGAAATTAAGAAAAGGATTTGGGAGAGAAATGTTCTGAATAACATTTGGGAACAGTTATTCTGAGTGTTTAGAAAGAGTAGATGCATGTATGATCCTCTCTTGGAATGTGGGAAGGACTTGCCTACAGCCATCTGCATGAACCATGGCAGCACCATGTACAAAATTTCACGTTTAAAAAGTCAGTGCCTTTAAATGATCAGGAGGAGGGGGATGTCTGCCCCAACAAGTGATGTGGGTAGGACTAGGTCTGCTGTGAGCTGTATCTGGAATCTGGCTGATCAGAGGGAACACAAATGGACGTGTATAAACAGTTGTCATAAAGATCAGGCATTCCTTTAAAAATCAAAAGATTCTAATTGAAAGGCTACCTCCCTGAGGTAGAGCGTAGAGGAGAAAGCTACAAGATTCTGAACTTTGTCAAGGAGAGAAAAGGTTTTTTAATTCAGCAAACCAGATGTGCTACTTGACAGTTTCATGTATTATTTGAAATAAATTATAAGAGTTTGGAATAACTTAAAAAGAGCACTTGATATACAGGCATAGGATATAGAATGTGCCTTGTTATTTATTCCACAGACTGTATGCAGTTGAGATCTATTAGAAAGGCCACAGCTTACTGATTCAGTGCCAAGCCAAAAATTATGTCAAGGCTGGTCTTTTCATGTGAGCTGATACATGCTGTGGTGCCTTTAATGTAGATATATAAGCCTGGAAAACTTCTATTTGCTGTTGCTGAAAGCTACAGTGCATTCCTTCATAGGGCTAATTGTTGAGAAACACTCATTTTTCCCCCTTTAATTAAAAGAAAGTGTTACTATATCTACCTGCAACATAAAGGAATTGGTGGCTTTGTAACCCAATAGGCACTGCAAAAGTGGAAAGAAAATAAGTTTAATTGGGTTTTATATCTTTGCTTTATTTTTTTTCATGCAGCTGTAGTTGAAAGCTGTCTGTTAGGAAAGGTCTGTTAAATCAATGACATGTTTAATTGAGGAATAAGGACTATGAGCATTTCATTATGAATCTGTTTCCTAAGCAGAATGCATGATAACCCAGATATGGAAGTAGCAGAAATATCTGTTATAAATACATGGGGGAATTGGTTTTATTCTGTTAAGATAGCAAATTCTAAGTATATCTCACATTGAATCAAAATTAAAAAAAAAAAAAACAACAAAAAACCAAAAAAGAACCCAAGGGTTATCTTTTTTTAAATAGCCTATAGTTTTACAGATGCAGAGTGCATCTCATGACAGCCAAGGAAGAGGATAAGAGTAACATAGTTCATCAGTGTACTGGCAGAGCACGTGCAGGTAATAATCACAGCTGCATCTCAATATAAGTGTTACTGAACTGTGAGAGTTGAACATCTCAATCTTTTACAGAAAACTTCTGATTTTTATTTGTGATTTGTAGATGCTGGCTGTTTTTCCAGGGTCTGGAACCAGAAGATTAACCTACAGGATGTTACAGATGTTCAATGGAAAGAGTATATAGCTCTTTTAGAATAGGTTTGGGGAAAATAAAAGTTTATTGAGCAGAAATTCAAACCATTTTGTTTGAGGCAGAACACACTGTTAACATTTTAAAAATAAGAAATATTAGATTTTGTTCAGAGCTATTTCAGATCACTGTGCTGCTGCCTAGAGCATTTTTGTACAATTATACCATTAGGTGTATTCTTAAAGTTCAGTCACTCAGGTTATAGTGTTATTTTTGCAATAACTTTAGGCTGTTGTCCTCAGGAGCTGACAAAGCGGGAGGTTGAATATATCGCACTGTCGAGGGACACCACAGAAACTGACCTCAAACAGCGACGAGAGATCCGGGATGGCAGTGCTTTTTATCTTGACCAGGCAAGTTGCAGTCACACACCACCTTGTCATTATTCATAAGTAGTTTGAAGGAAGTCATGGTTTATGTTATGAAAAATCAGTGTGTGGATTGACATGTTTCTAATCCAAGTAGAAAGTCTCTTGCACAATGATGTCATTATTGTCATAAATGTTATTTTACCCAAATCTAAGACTACTCTGTCTCTTAAGAGTACTACAGCGTTGATTTAGAGAGACCATTTTTGGTAAGAGTAAGGTCCATTCTGTGCAAGTTAGATAAGCCTTTGCTATATCTCTTCCTCAACATCTGCAGCACATTAGGTGTATTCCTGAAATGAATCTTCTGATCTAGTTTAATTGTGAAAGCATCTAGTTCATGTGTTTTATGACTGCTCTGTGTTGTGAAACCCAAGCACAATACAGGGAGAGAGTTGGGGGATTTGATTTGAAACCTCATTGCTGACCTGGAATAAAATAATGATTTAAACACTTTTGCCATCTATATTGCCCCAGACCAGTAGCTGATTTGGCACAGTCACAGAGTGACTTGGGTTAGGTAAGATTTCTCTTCATGGGTTATCAGTGGCATGTCTCCTTTCTGATTACTTTCTGATTACTTTCTGATTATGCAGGTAAAATGCACACTTCATGTGAAATGTCTGTTTTCATAGATACCTAAAATTTTTACAGAAGTTAGATTTCTGGCTAGATTGGATGGGTGAGTTCCTGTGATGTAGTATGAACATAAAGGAGTTATCTGAAAGAGTTTTCAGTTGGTGATGCTAAACCAGAAAGGTTTGTTCACTCTTTTAAAGAAAAATTTTTCTTTTTTTTTTCTTAAATTCCCAGTGATCTCTATTTCAGCTTCCAAATTTTCAAGAAACCTTTAAGTAGATTTTCTTGATACCACAGTAAATGAGCCGTGGAAGGTCCTCAGAATGATGAATTAACAATTAATCTAAATATATTTTATTTCATCTTCTTCTAGGACTTCAAATTATTTCATGCTTATCTGGAAATGCAAGGATTGCACAATAGGAGATAATTTGAAGCACTGTACTGTGTTTTAGGGCTGTAAATGGCTTCTCATTTACCAGAGAATAAGAGCATTTATGTAGGTTGTGGGATTAACTCATGTTCTAATATCAGCTCCACACCTGTCTGGTGCTATGGGCAGCCTTATCCTCACACTTGGTACAGGATAGTCAAGGTGTAACCATGGTGTAATAGCATTAATTAACTAACATTTGTAAGAGCCACTGTGTCAAGGACTGTAAGAAGCTCACTGAGATGTGAGATGGTCTGTTACCTCTGTATTTGTCTGTAGACTTTGATCCCAGGCTTTGATTTGTACAAAGTGAGGCTGTCTCAGTCTATTTTGAGTCAGCTGACTCCAGCATGAACGCTCTGGAAAGATTTGTTTCTTAAGATCAAGGTCTGAGATGACCACCTTCCTCAGTTAGAAATTTTCAGTTGAAAGGTTTTTGCCAGAATCCAGCACAGCAGTACTTCAGACCAAGACTTTGCTTTAGCAAGATACCAAAGTACTAAAATCTGTCGGAATCTGTTGCATCTTTCCTGAGCTCATGTTTTACTCATCATATTTATAAGCAATGTGTGTTTAAGCTTTGAATGGAACTTAGGAAAAGAAATACTTGGTATTTAGATGAACACTTTTTTAAAATACTGGAAATATGAAAGATAAATCTCCTAGATAGTGATGTGCCAGCTGAGGTTTTCTCATCCTGCGTAAAATGGGGTACATAGTTATGTTTAGAACCATCATAGCTCTAATTCCATTGTATTACTGAGCTATAAAGTTTTGCAGATTACACTGGTGTCTGAATTTCAATGAGTTAATTTAATGATTTTGAGGTTTGCAGATACTGTACTAATTCAGAGCATTACAGAAGCTAGAGACTACTCTTCTGTAAACTACAAACCATTAACTGAGATTAGTAGGAAGCCCTAACAAAATATTCCCTAAAGAGCTTGGATTGCTCCAGTTGGCATAGCTGAGACAAAGAAAAGGTGAATTCATGTGAGGGACTGAAGATGATGGACTCTGCTTTTCAGATTTTTATACCATTTCCTTTCCTGTAGTATCTCATGCTTGCTCTTCATGTCACCCAAGAGAAGACAGCAGAGCTTGAAAGTCTGGTTTCCACGACATCCTGTGTCTGAATTCTACTGCTTCAATAAAACTTATCAGTTGTTTAAGATATATGAGGCTCTTTGTAAGCAAGTCATAATATAGTAGTGTAGTTATTTTACACTTTGAATAATAATATACTGTAATAAAATCTGGCATCTTGTGACCAGAAAGAGCTTTTAATTTAGTGGTTCATCAGGTTTACAGACACAGAAAGGTTTGCAAAGTTGTCTCTGAGTGACTGTTAAGATGTAGTTGTTTATAGCTCCACATTTAATAGTGACAGACTAAGTGCTGCAAATTATTATCTCAGAGGTTTCAAAACATCTGCTATATTTTAATATGAAGTTGCAGAATATGATTGCAGATAATTAAAATATGTTGGAGAGGCAGTCATTTGGAAGCAGTTGTGAAAATTCCGTATTGGAATATGTATTGAAAGGCCAGCATATCAAATATTCTTGCATATCAGTATTTCTTAGTACTAGAGTGAATCAAGTGGGAGAGTTGGAGTTAGGTAGTTAGAAGAGATATCTGATAAAGGCTGAAAAAAAGGGGTTTATTTACCTCTGAAATAGATCATTGAAATTAAGGTAAACATTGAACTGTCAAATTCACTGCCAATTAAAATAATGTAAAGTAAATAATTTATGATGAGGTAATGGCGAATTATTTGTTTAAATTAATGTACTGACCGCAGAAAATTCTCTTTGCTTTTCTTTACTTTGGGCCATTCATTTTGGCTTTCAGCTATTAATTCAGTGTTAAAAGCCTCAAAATTGTCATTATTTCTGTTACTGAGCTAATTAAGTAACATAGTGGTTTTATTCTCTAATTTATTGTATGGGTTAATTATATTGTATATCAAGTAATTAGTTAGAATTACTTTATATTACCTAAGAATTCAAATGGCACCTTCAGATTTTACTTTTATTGATAGAATACTTGTCTTGCAAAGTGGTTTTTTGCTTCTATAAATCTGACAGTTAAGCTGTAAACTTCATTGAACCAGTAAGAATATTCTAATAACCTAGTGTATTTCCAAAAATTAGGGAATTAGATTTGATTTTTGCCTTTTTTTCCGCATTTCTATATAGTTTTGGTTTTTATTTTGTGTGTACAGCTGCATAAGTCACATCCCTGGTTTAAATTCTTATTACTACAGCCTCTTACATTAATAATTATTACATCTAAGGAAATCCTACATTATTTTAATGTAGCAGATGAATTTGGGAGAGCAGCTAATCCACTTTGTTAGTGCTTGAGAGGTGTATTGCTCCAGGATTGTGTTGCAAACCACATTGTCCAGAATGCCCATTTGTGTTTACCTTTTATCTTCCAGCATTTACATTAAATGAAAGAAGCTTCCCAAACACAAACCATGTAATAAAGTGTACAGTCTTTTCTGTTCAAGACAGTCAACTTAACTGAGGCTGGAATAAGTAGAAAGATGTCATATGGTTATGTGCTGAATAATTGCAAATATGATGTCATGTTTTTGAAGATTAAGCTACATCCACTGAGTGGATATGTAGGTATTTCACTGGCATTTCTGCTCATTTTAATACAATACTTTTACATCCCTAACTGCACCAGCATCCTAAGTTATACAATGGCAAAATGTAAAATTGATTGTCAAGATACCAGAAGAATAATCTTCTGACATGTCTTGAAACACTTAATGTAGTAAACAGTTAAACACCCAGAGTGACAGAAATGACAAACTATACTGTCTGCAAAATGAACATAACATGAAATCTCCTGGAGTAGCACTACCCAATTTGGAATCTGGTTGCTTTTAATCAAAGCAGATTAGAAAGGGAATTACAAAATAAGATGTGAGATTAATTGAATGAAATTATAATCATATTGGAGAGTGACACTGTAATATTTGAGAGTGTGTGTGTATACACATACATATGTATGTTTGTGTATACAAATAAAAAACTTTCTGTATTTTCTTAAAGACATCTGTAAGAATGATTCAGCTTTTAACAAAAATTAACCACTGAGTGAAAATTGTGTGATTCTGTGATTTATTAACTTACTGCCTTGGTGTGCTGGGATGTTAGCCACAGCCACATTGTCGCAAAGTATAATTTCATGGACTGACTAACACTGCAGTGTCTGTGTACTTAGAACAAGAAATAAGATAGTGAAGTCTGAAGAAAGAAGAGACAAGCAATGCACTCCAAAAGTGTGAATGTTCCTATTAATTTTCTTAGTTTCTCCTACAAAGAAGAGGAGACAAAGAGGAAAATATTAGGTAGAAATGAATTTGGGTGAAATTAATCTTTGTTGATGTTGACATAATATATCTTTTATCTAAAAAAAAAAAGTGTGTTAAGGAGCTCTGTATGGTAGCCTTTTAATTTGTAGAAGTGATTTTGGTATAATCATTTGCAATACTTCATTCATGCTTCTTAAAGTGTCAGCATTCAGCTGGATTTGTTAGGCTAGCAGCTCAGACTGGTATCTTGTTTTGATGTGCAGGGCATATAGATGAATGTCTGTGATGTAATGTGAGGAATATTAGGATCATGTATTTATAATTCCTTATAAGGAATTGTGAGATTGTTTTTTCTTATGTTGGTATCTGTTACATGTATATTCCACTTCCTTTTCAGTTGTTATTTCCTACTATGGGGAAAGGAGCAATAGTTTGTAATATGTGGGATCACAGTATCCATAGGCAATATGGACTTGATGGATGGTGCTCTGAGTCAAAGTGATTTAAGAGTGATAACTAACTTCATAATTTTTAGATATCTGCCAAGTATTTAATTTTCTTTTTATTTTGCTGCCCATCAGGAAGAAAAATTTAAATTGCCCTCCTTCTTTATTCCTGTACAGAAGATAAACCTTGCCT